CACACACACACACACACACACTATCCTGTGTCACGGTCACTTAAGTACACACACATATGAGCACACACCTGCCCCAGGGCCCTGAGGCCTGCTGTTACCTGCCAGACCAATCTACACAATAAATGATCTGTAAGGAGAGTGTGTGTGTGTGTGTGTGTGTGTGTGTGTGTGTGTGTGTGTGTGTGTGTGTGTGTGTTGTGCACACAGACAGGAACTGTGACAGACGGGCAGAAATGAAAGATGTGCGATGATGTATTATTTCCCAGCATGCTCCAGTTCCCAGTGATGATACTCTCCTGGTGACTCTCTGGTTTGCAGTTGTTTAAAATGAGAGATTATTCATGTGGACTTCCGTTAATTTAAATATTCATGAACCTCCGACTGCGGAGCTGAGTTAAGGGTGGGGGTGGGGGGGTGCTCATTAATGAATTAAGTCTTAATCTACAGACGCTCTCCTCCCTCTCCTCCCTCTCACATGTGGAGTGTGTCGGTGCGTCTCTCGGCTGCAGTTCACCGGAGCTGTTGAGTTTCTGCTCGTCTCTTTGTCGCCGTGACGAGTCGTTAAACTGAATCAGAGCCATTAGAGAGACGAGGGACGAGCCCTCACATCCTGTTACCGCAGCAACCATCATGTGAGAGTCCGACGTTAACACACTGTCAAAGATTCATGTTGAACTCTTCTTAATCTCAGTGTCATTGTCTTATGCTGCAGTTGACTTTTAACTCTTGTTTTAAACATTTTAATCCTGTTTCAATGTGAAAATGTTAAAGAAGATAAAGTTACAGTTGAAGCACAGAGAGGAACGAAGCGTTCAAAATAACAAGTATAATAATAATAAATATCGAACCAATAAATCTGATAAGACGAGTTATCTTATAAACAATGCAGGAAAGACTTGTGTTTTGTGTTTACGTGAAGAAAATGTTTCTCTTCTTGATTCAACTTCATGTTTTCATTCTATCCATGAAAACTTTCACGGTTAGCGGCGACTATATCTTTATATTTTATATATATCATATATCTTTATTTTTTATATAAATCAGCATCGACTGCCAGCAGCCGAATCACTCCAGTTCTCTTCAATCACAGACGGAGCTTTTGAGCGTCCGTTGTTTTTCACCAGGTTTCACAGCTGGAATCAAACACGTGACGCTTCTGTTCTCGTCTGTTAAAATGAGTTTGGTTATTTGAGCTGTCACAGGCTTCATGGCTTCAGTTCAGAGCCTGTGGGCGACACGTTTGTGCTCTGTACAACATTAACCGTACTGGACTCATTTACCCCCCCGACACCTCCTCCAGGGTCCTGGGCCGTCCCACAGAACCTGAGGGGCTTTAGAGGCCAGCGGCAGGTGGAGCGGCCGGTCCACTGGGAGGAGGGGGAGGAGGGGGAGGAGCGGGCTGGTGTAGGTGGGACGCCTACAGGGAGGGGGGGTCATAGAGTAACGATGGGGGGGGGGGCAGGTGGACGAATAGTGAGCGACAGAGCGAGAAATTAATTCATGGATAGATTCCGATCTGCAGCAAAGAAGTGGGAAGTGTGGATGGAGAGATTAAGCAAAGAGGGAGGGAGGGGAGACAGAAGAGGATACTCCCCCTACTCTGACACACACACACACACACAGACACACACACACACACACACACACACACACACACAGACACAGACACACACAGACACACACACACACACACACACACACACACACACAGACACAGACACACACAGAAAACATGAGGAGAGAAAGAGCTATTCTCAGTTTGTCCCTCCCTCTTGGCCGCATAACCTAAATTCACCTAAATTCATTATTTATTACACACCTCGCATATACGACATCACACACACACACACACACACACGCACACAGACACACACACACACAGAAAGACACACACTGAATGCTGACCATGCTATAGCCTCAAGCAAAGAGGAGGGGTCAACAACCTATAGATGATTTTATCTGTGTGTGTGTGTGTGTGTGTGTGTGTGTGTGTGTGTGTGTGTGTGTGTGTAGATCACCAAGCTGATGCCCTTCACATCAGGCCTCATGAATATGTAATGTAAGTGTCATTTTAATAAAGCACCAGTGAGTTAAATGTGCCCGTGAGGAGACGATGCGAGTGTGAAACCCATAAATCACATTTATACACTAATAGTGAACTGAGGGAACGTTTCTACCACGAGGTCAGTAAAAACATAATCTGATATTTTCAACCATCAGGTTTTTGATGGATCCTCGTTGAATTTGTACAAACATCGTGGTTTTCAGACCCTGGACTCCTCAGGCTTCATCCTGATGTGACAGTGAACATGTTATTTCTGACGAATCTGTTGTTTTCCACTTTCAGTTTGTCGACTTCGTGTCTGGAGCCGACGGCAGCAGGACACGTCGCCGAGCATCATGGGAAATGATTTTAACCGTATTCAGCTCCCAGCATCTCATCGTCTCTGGTAACTGAAGCACTTTGGTGTTTTCTGCTTTATGACACTTTAACACATAAGTCACCATTATTTTCAGTGAATGACCTCACACACACACACACACACACACACA